AGAACACAGAGGTTTTACGTGGTTCGGTGACGGTGTGTCAATCTACGTCCACGGGCAGGAACCGGAGAGATTTTATTATACTGATTCAGAGATTTACAATATGTCATCCGACTAAGAACCATAGTTGTCTATTTATAAGCACCCCAAAACACCCTAAACCCTAAGTCCATTTGTTATTAATTAGGATAAGCCCAAAAGGAACCCTGCCAATTGAAACAGCCCTTTCGCTTTGGTTTAGGGTCGGGTAGACCGCTAAATCCAAGTCACGTTTCAACAATCTCCACCTTGACTTGGAGTTTCTCCAACCGCCAAAGGTTCGTCAGTATCTCTCAGTCGTCTCCTTCCTGCCAGATGCCCCGAGAAGGCTTTACCTCCTACGAATATTCACCAAGTTCAAGCAATGCTCAAACTTCTCCGTCGGTAGCGCCTTTGTCAACATATCAGCTGGATTGTGTTCTGTAGCTATTTTCTGAATAGAAAACTTGTCTTCCTCCAGAACATCATGGATAAAATTCAACCTTACATCAATATGTTTGGTTCTCTCATGATACACTGGATTTTTAGCCAAACTCAAAGCACTTTGACTATCACAGAATAACACCGGTTTCTCCACCTTCAGACCCAAACTCTGCACCAGACCATGTAACCAGATACCCTCCTTAATACCTTCAGTCATTGACATGTATTCCGCCTCAGTCGTCGACAATGCAACCGTAGGTTGTAAAGTAGACTTCCAACTGACTGCACATCCAAACAGAGTGAAGATAAAACAAGTTAGTGATCTTCGTTTCACCAAGTCACCCCCGTAATCAGAGTCTGCATAGCCAACAAGACCATCACCATGGCCTTTATCATCATATACCAGACAAATATCAGACGCTCCTTTCAAATATCGCAAGATCCACTTTACAGCTCCCCAGTGAGCTTTACCCGGATTAGCCATAAACCTGCTCACCACACTAACCGCATAAGCGAGATCCGGTCTTGTACATACCATCGCATACATAAGACTTCCAACTGCACTTGAATATGGAACCGTCTTCATGTAACTAACCTCTTCATCTGTAGCCGGTATAGTGCTTCGATCAAGTTTAAAGTGTGCCGCCAAAGGGGTACTTACCGGTTTGGACTGATCAACAGAGAATGCCTGCAAAACTTTCTCAATATACTTTTCTTGAGAAACCCACAACCGTCTTGCTTCTCTATCACGCCAGATCTCCATACCAAGTATTTTCTTTGCCGCACCCAAATCCTTCATCTCAAACTCACCCTTTAGTAGAGCCTTCAAGTCATTAATTACAGCCATGTTCTTAGCTGCAATTAACATATCATCCACATACAACAGCAGATACACAAAGGAATCAGTAGAAACTTTCTTCGAGTAAACACAGTTATCAAACTGATTACGAGTATAACCATTAGACACCATGAATGAGTCAAATCTCTTGTACCATTGCCTCGGAGATTGCTTCAAGCCATACAGAGATTTCTTTAACAAACATACCTGGTCCCCTTTAGAACTGTAGAACCCCTCCGGTTGAGACATGTAAATTTGTTCTTCTAGATTACCATGAAGGAATGCTGTTTTTACATCAAGCTGCTCCAGCTCCAGATCAAAAGCACCCACCATTGCCAAAAGAACCCGAATGGTTTTGTGTTTCACCACAGGAGAAAAGACTTCATGGTAATCGATTCCTTCCTTCTGTGAAAACCCTTTTGCCACCAGTCTCGCCTTGAACCTAGCAGGTTCAACACCAGGAATTCCCTCCTTTCTTTTAAAGACCCACTTGCATCCCACTGGCTTCACCCCTTTTGGTAGTGCAACAAGATCCCAAGTCTTGTTCTTTTCAAGAGACTGCATCTCTTCATTCATTGCCATAATCCAGGTTTCTGCATCTTTACTCGCCACAGCTTCTTTATATGTCTTTGGCTCATCAGAGCCAAGATCATCACCAACCGCTAGTGCATAAGCAACAGAATCCATGTCACACGTATTGACACATCCTGCAAACCTAGCTGGTTTCTGAATATTTCTCTTTCCCTTTCTTGCTGCTATGGAATCTTCAACCCCAGTACCAGCGTCATCAGCTTCCCCCTCAACCGGTTTCCCTTGAGGTTTTGACTGATCTGGTTGATCGGATTGATCAATATTATTATCCTGCTGCTTTTCCTCTAACACAACTCTGTCAGGAGTCTCAAACTCCACCCTCTGGTTAGCACCACAATCTTTTGTACCTGCAATACTTTCACAACCTCTACTCTGATCAAGCATAGCAGATTCATCAAAGGTTACATCTCTGCTAATAAGAAATTTACCAGGATTTTTACCTTCTGTACACCACAGTCGATAACCTTTTACTCCTGTTGCATACCCTAGAAATATGCATTTTACCGCCCTCGGCTCCAGCTTACCATCATTCACATGAGCGTATGCAGGGCATCCAAATATTCTTAAATTAGAGTAATCAGAGGGTTTACCGGACCATACCTCTTGAGGAGTCTTTAAGTCAATTGCAGTTGATGGAGATCTATTAACCAGATAGCTAGCAGTGTTTACTGCTTCAGCCCAGAATTGCTTAGACAAGCCAGCAAATATGCGCATACACCTAGCACGCGCCATGAGGGTTTGATTCATTCGCTCTGCAACTCCATTTTGCTGTGGTGTGTGTCGTACAGTGCGGTGCCTCACTATACCTTCTTTCTTGCAAAAATCATCAAATGGAGCGTTGCAGAACTCCAACCCATTATCAGTTCTTAGAGTCTTGACCTGTTTACCCGTCCGTTTTTCAACCATGGTCTTCTACTCCTTGAACTTCCCAAACACCTCATCTTTAGTCTTTAGAAAGTACAACCAGACTTTTCTCGAATAATCATCTATGAAAGTGACAAAGTAAGAACACCCGCCCTGCGATTTCACCGGAGAGGGACCCCATAGATCTGAATGAACATACTCCAGAATTTGTTTTGAAGTGTGATGACCGGTACTAAACCTCACCCTGCGTTGCTTCCCTTTTACACAAGCCTCACAGAATTGAATTTTACCTATCACATCCCCACCAAATAAACCCTGCTTGCTCAACACAGACAACCCTAACTCACTCATGTGACCTAATCGCCGGTGCCACAAATTTGTCCTATCATCGTGTTTATCCAAGGACTGAGATACCGCCGCCGTTCCCATCACTGAACTGCCCTGTAGAAAATATATTCCATGCTGCAGTTTTCCCTTCATCATTACCAGCGCACCTTTCAGGACTTTCACCCACTCACCTTCACCATGATATTTTAAACCATTCTTGGCTAAGGTCCCAAGAGAAATCAAATTCTTTCTGAGTTCAGGAACATACCAACAGTCAAATTTCCTGACAGTACCGTCATGCAATTTTATCTGCACTACCCCGCTCCCTTTTATGGCTAGAACCCCATCATCACCTAACTTCACCGTTCCATTCCACTCCTTAAAAGAAGTTAGTAGATCACGAGAGAACGTCATATGGTGAGAAGCACCGGTATCCATAATCCAGGAATCAGCAGTACTAGCACTACACGCTGTCAGAACTTCACCAAAGTCCCCATCATCAGAACTGTCTTGTACCACAGCAGCACTGCTGCCACTGTTACTAGAATCAACTTTTGTATTTCCCTTCTTTTGTGGACAATCCCTTTTAACGTGCCCTTTCTCCTTGCAAAGATAACACTTAACTTTGCTAGAGGATTTTGATTTTGAACGCGACCTCCCATTCCCGTTACCCCTCTCATGTGGTCTTCCCCTACCTGCAAACAGACCTGAACCAGAACCCTCTTCCAGAGAAACCTTTCTTTTCAATTCTTTGGACATAAGGGCATCTTTCACATCATTAACAGAAATTGTAGTTCTACCATATAGCATAGTATCTACAAAATTCTCATATGAACCAGGTAGTGAACACAATAAAATTAGGGCTTGGTCTTCATCATCTACTTTAACCTCAACTCCTTGAAGATCAAGAATGATACGGTTAAAGGTATCAAGATGATCCTTTACCTGAGTACTTTCGGACATCCGGAGGGTGTAAAGACGTTGCTTCTGATATAGCCTGTTCGTGAGGGAGTTGTTTTGGTACTTCTCACACAGTTTATTCCATAACCCAAAAGCCGTTGTCTGATCTACAACCTCCCGTAACACCTCATCAGTAACTGACAGCAAGATCGCGGAATGAGCCCTTGCCAAAATCTCCTTATTTACCTCCTCCTTCGTGTCTTTAGGAAACTTGTCTTCTCCCTCCAACGCAGCCGCACATCCTTGTTGAACCAGAAGTGCCCTCATCTTGACCTTCCAGAGCGTGAAGTCATTCGACCCATTAAACTTCTCCAGATCAAATTTATACGAGGACATTTTCAATCAATGGGATATGGCTCTGATACCACTTGTTATGAGAAAACGAGAAAGAAAGCAAATAAAGAACACAGAGGTTTTACGTGGTTCGGTGACGGTGTGTCAACCTACGTCCACGGGCAGGAACCGGAGAGATTTTATTATACTGATTCAGAGATTTACAATATGTCATCCGACTAAGAACCATAGTTGTCTATTTATAAGCACCCCAAAACACCCTAAACCCTAAGTCCATTTGTTATTAATTAGGATAAGCCCAAAAGGAACCCTGCCAATTGAAACAGCCCTTTCGCTTTGGTTTAGGGTCGGGTAGACCGCTAAATCCAAGTCACGTTTCAACATATATTAATAAATAAAAGTTGAATTTGTTTAATTTTAAACCAAATCAACTCAAACCAGTTTATTTAATTTTGAAACTTTTTTATTCCATCTCTATTTCAATTTTTACAAACCAAATGCAGTCGTAGAATTTACTAATGGCAAACACCAAACACAGCCCCGAAATGATACTATAATGAATCCGAACAGGCACCTTAATATTATTATTATTATTATTATTATTATTATTAATAAAATAAAAAAGGAAAATGATTTAAGAAGTCGTAAATGTATGCCAATTGCCCTTAGCCTCGTTGAATTCAATTTTTGATTTCCCACAATAATTAATACCTCCAAAAGAGGACATTCGACTCCCCCTTTCCCTTCCACTCTCCTCTACCTTCTTCAACCCTAATAACCAAAACTTCTCCAACCCCAACCCCAACCCCCATGGAATTGGACGCCACCATCGCCGCCTTAGAAATGGCGACTCTCCCCTCCGTCGTCGAGCCTGCTCTTGTCGTCACCGAAGACATTCTCGACTTCAGTCTCGACGGAACCGATGAATTGAAGCCTGGCGCTTCCACTTCCTCCTCCTCCGGCCGTCTCAGCCTCTTCCCTGTAAGTCACCCGCCCTGTTCTGTGCTGTTTCTTTCCGACTTCGGCGGTGACTCGCTTTGAACCGGTGTCTCTCTGAGTCGACTCGGCCGAGTCAGCTCTGAGTCACCTCCGAGTTCTGTTAATGGTTGCCTGTCAAGTCAACGTTGTCGGCTTCTCCGCGTTCACTCGTTTCTGTGGACGAGTTTGCCCCTCCCACCCTGCAACCCCTAGGGGTGTTTCTGGAATTGTATATATTTTTTATTTTATTTTATTTTTATTTTAAAAAATAAATGGGAGGCATTGTTGGCGACAACGGAAATTAGCTGTAAAGATTAATGGTGGAGTCCTCCTTTTCTATGTGCATAGCAATCATGTGGGCCTGAGGCCATACGATAAGATATGATTTGATATAATATATATATATATATATTGAGACACGATTCTGCACTGCATGTGCTCTCTCAATCTCAATTAACACCTAAATATCTATCAAATTCAAATTATAATTATAATTTTTTATTTTATTTCTGAGGTAGCTGTTCCATTGGTGTGTTTGAATGGACAGAAGACATTCCTGAATGGAGATAGCATTATATAGCCCACGTGGAGTAATTTGACTTTATTGTAGCATAACATCCAAGAACTTGATTGATTGGGGATTTGCTACCTGTCACCCAATTTTGAAAATCTGTTAAAATGCCATTGTCTAGCTGTATCTGCATTGGATTGATATTATTCGTGATTACATAATAGGTTTTCTCATCCCAGTACGTGATCACATTCTTTTGCTTTGCAAGTGAAGATTTTACTCGTCTTTTTGTTGATTGCTTGATTGAGTAATGGCTTTTTTCATTCAGGAGTTTGAGGAGGAACTCGAATGGCTATCGAACAAGGACGCGTTCCCGTCCGTCGATACTTGCTTCGGGATCTTAGCCGACAATCCGGAGCTTGTATTGCTAAACCATCAGAGCCCAGTGTCGGTGCTCGAGAACAGCAGCAACAGCAATACGACGAGTAGCAGCGGCGGTGCTACCGTCGCGAGCTACTGCAGCAGTCTGAAAGTGCCCGAGAGCTTTCCCGTTCGTTCGCGGAGCAAGAGGCTGAGAAGAAAGAGGTCAGACTTAGTCGGATTGTTCAGACAGCAGCATCATCATCATTGTCTGTGGGCGACCCAAGTCTCTTTCAAGACTAAACAAGAACGGCCGGAAACTGTGTTACCTACAACGACGAATTCCAGGGGAGCTGGCATTGGGAGAAGGTGCTTGCATTGCCAATCTGACAAAACACCGCAATGGCGTGCGGGTCCTATGGGGCCGAAGACGCTATGCAATGCTTGTGGAGTGAGGTACAAGTCGGGTCGATTGCTTCCTGAGTATCGTCCTGCAAGTAGCCCGACGTTCTCGAGCAAGCTGCATTCGAATTCTCATCGGAAAGTGGTGGAGATGAGGAAGAAGAAGCAGTTACCGGTGGCGGTTGGTGAGAGTTGTGGATATATATAGGAGGAGAGATATAGAGGATATAATAGGTTAGAGAGAGAGCAGCAGCAGCAGCAGCAGGGTTAGCCATTGTCTCATTTTATTTTGGTGGTTTCTTTCTTCCTTAAAAATTAACATCGTATTTTTATATTTATTTTTGTTTAGATGATGAGGTTGTAGGATTTGTGTATGTGTACTTGAAGCAATTAGCTAGGTGGGGGTGGGGGTGGGGGTGGGGGTTAGAGTTGTTGTGGAGTACTATGATATATGAGTTAGTAGATGGTTATAGTGAGTGATTGTGTTTCTCCTTTCATCCAAATCTTGGCAATTAAGCATGGAATTTTGGTGGAAATTTTATTTTCAAGATAGAATGGTTTGGATGGTAAACCACTTGTTCATAACATAGAAGCATTGTGGTGGTTGAGGAGGCGGTGGCGGCGGCGGCGGCGGGCATGGCACTAGAGACCTCCGAGGAGGTGGCGATCAACACACTACTAAAATTTTACTTTTTAACACCTTATTTGAGTCATTTGGAGATATTTCTTCTTACGCATTTGTTGGGCTTTGTTTTGTAAGAGCAACCGCAGTGGCTACTTTCGAAAAAGCTTTGGAAATCTTCTTTAAAAATGATAATGTCAAAGGCTTGGAAAAAGACAATGATTGAAATTGTAAGTTGCTACCCATTTACCTTACACAAAGAAAATCATCTCATTGTATATTTCATAGTCTCCAACCTAATGTATTGCTTATCTTCCACAACATCTTTTCTTGTCGTGTGAAAATCTAGCCCATGACACAGATTTTTTGCCCATAAAAAAAAATAATAAAAAAAAAATAAAAAATAAAAAAAACCACATAAAAGGGAATTCTTATTAAGGTTTTCCTTTTTTTATTTTTTTTGCCCATAGAAAAAATCTTGCACAAACACATCATTGTTAAATGGGAAGATTTCTTCGTCGTCTTTGTCCAAAACACAGATTTATTTTCTTTCAATGACGCAATGACACAAAAAGGAATTGTTATTAAGGTTTTCCCTTTTTCTCTAATTTTATTTTCATTTCTGTTTAATCAAGGTATACCTTTTCTATTTGTAGACAATGACAATAATTTTAACATTCTATTATGATCTTGGTCTAAATTAGATGAAAAATTAAATTATACTACATTCGTTCAGCACTAAAGGACTATATTTACTTTTTGCGTATTGATATTTGGATATTAATTATTATATCTTACAAATTAAGAGAAAATGATAAAAATATCTATATTAGTGTTTTATAATACTAATATAATACATTTGTATAAAAATTTATAGAATTATAAGGATATTTTGAATGTTAAGTACAATAACACAAAAGATAAATGAATCCTCAAAAGCTGACGCGAAGAGTAATTTATTAGCAAGTAACGATGTCCACATATTTAAAAGCATCTATGCACAATCAACGCAATAGTACCGGGAAGGTACAAACAAAGATTTAGGAAGAAAAAAGAAAAAAAAAAAGAAAAATTAAAGAGCGAAGCCGCATAAATTATAAATCACAATAAAGAGGTAGGGTAAATTATGCAAATCTATTTTTATTTCATTGCTAAAAATTGTAGTAAGTATGTGCATAGGGCTATTGATTGTTGGCAAAAGAAATATAACCATACAAATCAAACACATCTATTGAAAATTCTGACGATAAAGAAATTGAAATTTTACTTTGCAAATACTTGGTTTTTGTTTACACGTTACTTTTGAAATTTTGGCATTATTCAATTTTGTTGGACATGATCGCCGAACTTAGTGATATAAGAGGTCAATTCCTTCGAGTTTCTTGACAGCAAAACTAGACAACCATAAATACAACTTCTACCACAAGATTATTTTGTAGTTATAACACCCGTGTGTGTAAGTGAAACACATGATGATGGTTGGAAAGTACGAACATAAATGAAAAACGATATTTGTTGATCTAGTTCAGTATTAAAACTTACATTTGGAGAATATCAATCCAATGATCATCCAATAAAATCCATCTCCAAGTTCATATGGACTCGATACATCCAACAAACATACATCACAAAGTATTATGTCCCCTTACTATCATTCCTTAGTCATGCACAAAAAACTGAACGTTACACTACAATAATAACTCAAGAGACCACTTAACTAGCTAAAAGTAAACTTGTTTACTAGTTGCTCATCACCTTTCTCATTCGTCTTAATAATTTCACAATTCCATCGAAAATTGAATGTTTTTTCCAAAACATGAAGGGATGGAAAAACACAAATAGAGAGTTTAAACACTAGTTTCTCTCCCTCAAAATTTAAATCTTCTTCAACTACTCTGATCTAGTCAACCAAGGCTGATTTTCGTCTAACTTACGGGTAAATAAACGAAGACATTAAATATTTCCCAAGAATTTTGAATCGATATTTCATTTCTCTAGAAATGAGTGTGCACGAGACAATTCAATTTTGTCCATTTGTCTTTGGTTCTTTTATGTTTTTAGCTAAACAAAAAGACTTTCTTCTTTGATGTCGATTGTAAAGTCTGATAACAAATTTGCATCTTACATGTGCCAAAATAGGAAATATTTGTTTTTTACTTTCTTAACATTCTTTTTCATTTTGGCATGTGATACAAGGCACCCAAAGCAACAAGAACACAAACAAACTCATGCACCTATCATCAACCATTCAAGTGCGAAATGTAGTTTGTTCAAAAGTTAATAGTTATAGGCCTTAAAAAGATAAAAAACAACAAATAACTTTTATAAAAAAATTAGTAAAACACGTTGACTAAACAGAAGTTATAACATCTACTTCATACAAATACAAACAAAATAAGGATAGCAGAAACAAAACTCTCAATTCCCCCTACTTATAGTTGTTTTTTCTTTTGACTTGCAGCAGAGGCAAAAACATAATAGTCATAAGAATGCATCATTCCCCTCATCACCAACTTAAACTTTATCATCGTTCACAAGAAAGGCAGGGTGGCGTGGCATCAAGCTAACAACTTGAGTAACGTTCTTTTTCTATGCAATAAGGGCGAAAAACATTGTATTTTGGTCACGTGTTACTTCTTATAGCAGTTCACAACAACACTCCCAACAAGCATCATCATCTGATGGCTCACCATCACCAAAATTATTATGTAGGCGCTTCAAATTGGATTGAGCGAGGAATGAACAAACACGGATCACCTCTTCATTTTCCTCTGGATAAATTTCGTGTGAGTGCAAAAACAAAGTTATCAAAGCACGACAAAACAATTGTGTCGAATTGCTTCTCGAATCTGATGTCAATTCAAGAATCATCGTCATTACAACAAAACCCAAGTTAATCCATTCTCAATGATGATCAACTACAAACAATAAATTACCCATCTTGGAACTTATTGTAGTGTCATTTGTGGTTGGATAAATGTTGGTACTATAGAGGCGGTACATGCATTGATATTTCAAAGTCAACAATGCAGAGGCAAGGCCAATCCTCCCGAACCCAATGGATTTTCCTGTAGACAACATCCAAACAACTTGTCATGCGATCTCCTCCATTAAGTACGATGGAATCCGACTTTCGTCATTAACGGGTAGTTGCAACAATGCATTGATCATCGAGGGGCTAAATTTCTGAATATGTCCACGGACAAAAGCGGGATCAAAGATCTTAAAGGTCAAATTTGCATGATACTTTATCACAAAGTGAAGACAAATATGTTCCACTCTACTAGCTCAATGAAACGAATGTTTCTCCTCCAAATAAGTAGTAAAAGTAGAATTTGTGTTCATAACTTTGTTAAGATGAGCTTTAACAATAATGTCACGAGTAGAGAAGGTCTTAATGGTGTACTTTTGGGTAGTAAAATGATAGTAAATGTCATTGAAAACATTCTCAACTCGAAAAGTAGAAGGTTCTTCTCTTTGCTTCTACTTAGTAGTACAAATAGTGTTCACTACTCACTTCCTTATACAGTTAAGGATTGGATTGAAAGACGATAAATCCTATAAAAAACATCAGCTTTAAATAGTTGTTCTTCCACAGGTCTAAGATCATCAATCTCATCTTCTTCTTCTATCAAGCATGATGAACAAAAATATTATGGTGATTTAGGCTCTGTTTAGATAGCCTGATTTGGACTAGTTCACACTGTATACTTTCAACACAGTTTAATACTCCCTCAAAATTTACTTTGATTTTCAAAGTTCCATTTTGGCATTAATGAGGTGGGTTTCATTCAAATAATTGGGGCCCACCACTAATAATATATTTAATATGTTATATTAGCTCGGTCCGGCTTTAAAAAGCTTATTTACTTTTTGTGTGTTAATCTTTAAATATTAATTGTTATATCAAAACGTAGTACAAAGAATAAAAAAAATTACAAAAGTATTTTCATTAGCGTCTTATAATACTAATATAATGACATTTGTAAAAAAAAAAATTATAAAAATATAAATGATATTTTTAATATTAAATATAATCACACAAAAAATAAATATAACCAGAGACATAATATTATATAAAATATAATTATAATTGGGCCCAACACTAATAATATGTTTAATACTCCTTTCATCCCATGGAACATGACCTTTTAGTCACGAATACAGTATTTAAGGTAATATAATTTGCTAAGTTAATTATAAAATATAAATTGTTAGTATTTTTAAGATAAAAATTAATATATAATTAGAAGAAATTTGAAATAGATACTTAAATATTTTAAATACTATATCTCAATAAAATATATATAATATAAATATTATTTTATAAAAAATAAAATTTTATATAATACAAATAAATAAAAATATATATACTTATTTATCTATAATTAACATAAAATGATTTTATAAAAAATGAAATTTTTAAATAAAACTAAAAATATTTATTTATCGAAAATAAATACAAATAAATCTTTTTGAATAATTTGTGTAAAAAATTGAAATTTAGTTAAATTAATTTATATTTATTAAGTATATCTAATATTGATATAATTTTTTTTTTAAAAAATAGAAACAAATCATCCATATAAAATAGAAAAAAGTAGAGGTAAAATAGAAACAAATCATCCATATAAAATAGAAAAAAATAGAGGAGTCATCCTGACACAGTATGATTCATGCACAATTTTATGTCCAAAAATGATGGAAAACATAATTTTACATTAAAAAAAAAAGATATACAATCAAAAAATAATTCTTTGTAGTCCAAATAATTAGTAGGCAGGCAGGCAGGCAAGTTGGCGTATCTACCTTCCCATTTCCCTCTCCCCCTACCTCTTTTCGAATTTCTTTAACCGAACTTACTATTCTATTAAATATACAATTCCCAACAACCCAACTTGACAAAATGTAACTCAAAATTTCTATCGTGACCTACACAAAATATATACGTATATATATAGAGAGAGAGATTTACTCACATAGATAAAATTGCTGTACGGATCAGGGCAGGGCGGGATCATTCAGAACTCCTATTCAAAGATGTTAGCATCTTGTTTTGTCAAGTTATCTCAGTGTAGTGTAGTGTTATTACAAGGATCATTCATTGTTCCTCATTTTCTCGAAGCTCGGTTCATCTGCAATAGATGAGCCCTGCGGCTGTAATCTTCCACCTGCCCACATTCATTGGATTTCAATTCTTTACCACAGCTTTAAAAAATCATATTGCCATTGCAAATCAACTGCAGAATCACATTATTGGTATTGGTAGTGCAGACAAACCATAAAACACTACTGTAATAAATAATATCATCCTTATGGTAAATTGATGGTAGGAAAAAGAACATAAAAGAAAAACAAGTAATCGAACTACTTTCTTGTGGACTTAATTAATTATATACCTGCAGTGCAGCTGTACTACTTAAAATTGATTCACATCTTCTCACCATAGCTCTTTCCTTCACTGCTACATCAGCGAGTTCGGACGCCAAGCTGTTTGTTCCCTCAACCTGCATCGTATATGAAAAATAAAAAACGTAGTATACAGTAGAGGATCATTTTTTTTTAAAAAAAGGATTCTCCAGAAACCAAGAGGTGTCCTAACCCTCAAAATTATTGAACATAGTGAGGATCCAACTGCCTGCATCGCATCAACTGCTGAGCATAAGGCCGCCTTTACAGCTTCAATATCACCCTAGAAAACATTTATGCATTTGGGTCATTTCGATTTTATTACAACTGGTATCAAGGTTGAAAGAGGCGTGCATGCATACACTGGCCCTGTAAGTAAGTGGAATGAGGGTCGTGCTTGACTGCAGATATTGGATGGTAGTGGTCAGCGAGTTGAGATGATCTACTTCAACTGAAGCCCACTTGTCAAGGTAAGTTAACTGAGCACCAAATAGATTCAAATTAGCAATGTTTTGAAGATATAGGATTGACAAATGCAATATGTCATAAGAAACCAAAAATAAAAACTATAGGAGATTATGACAAATTAAGGGCAGATATCAGGAAATAGGGTGCTGGTATCTAGAGCTTAAAAGACACATGATCACAGATGGCCATCAGCTGCGAATTCTATAAATTAATTATTATAGTTAGTTATGCACATTCAACAAACTACCCAACTTGAACAAGGGAAGGTTAAACATGGTGCTCTACCAACTGAGCTATAGCCCCACCATTTGAATCATATTTCAATGGCCATACAGCAAGAGGGGTAGAGAAAATGCTCCGAGCCCCTGAAGTAGCCCACAAAATTTCAGGAAATGCTCATTTATCCTTTAAATATTTGCATATACCCATACCCGACACAGACAGCTAGGTAGATAGGCGGAATACCCAGGGGCACCAGATAATTCCTAAAATAAAGTATTATGATACAAAGATGAGTATATGCAAAATTAAGAAAATTCCATTAGTTTACATTATGATAACTCCCATGGACAACTGACGATGCCACAAAGATTCAAGACAAATTACCGCTGTTACCCAGTCATGAATTTAAAACATACATGAAGTCCCTCAATGCATAACGTAAGGTATTTATTTGCAAAAGCATCCAACATCAATGTGTTGCTTTAATAGCATTCCAGTTCACAACTCCCACCACTCATTGAAGAGAACAATTTTATGCCTCTACAAGTGCAAGTATCACATATATTACTCAGGTCTATGACTTTCCTGCAGACAATAGAGTTTAAATGCTGATATGTGGTGATTATGTTCAACATTAGTTTAGTTCCAAGAAATAAGCATCACCTAGAAAAGATGAATTTGGAAATGTATACCATATTTTAATAAAAAGGAAAATGAATATGGAACTAAAACACATGCAATTAAACAGCAACAGTTATGCAAATCAAGAACCACCAAAACAAAATTCTTCATCGCTAACACATGCATCACCTGATTATTCAAAATGGAGTAAAGATTCAACTTCAGCTTCAGTTGCTGGATATCAATTCTTTTCTCCATTATCACGTCCCATGTACCAGAAATTACCCTCAAAGTGCTGTACAACACTTTCTGCATAATTAAAATATACTTGAGAGCACGTCATAAAAAATATATATACTGATATACTTGAGAGCTTAAACATTGACAAACTAATTTTATTCATAAACGCAAATAATATGAAATAATATGAGAAAGAAACAAAAGATGCACACAATGTTATAACCTAAAAATGTTATACAAACAAGACTCAATTTTGAAAACATTAAATAAAGAATGGATGAAGTAACAACTCTTTGGAATCTTACTACAATGTTTTGGTTTTTATTTTCGCACCATTCAGTGCATTTCCATTTTTCCTTCCAACAAACATCACTCCATACCTACTTTTCATCCAAAACATCACATGTAAGACCAATTTTCACCACAAAATTTTCCAAAAGCCAAATCAACCAAAAACTCATGGAAGTAAAAAGAACACTGTTATGATCTAAAAGAATTCAAATGATGTATCTGGAGGAATCATTTGAAGTTAAGACAAGTTTTAGTAAGACAAGCTCAAACCTCTGCTTTAACTTTCCTATATTGCACTACAGCATCAGTGCGTGCATTTGCATATCTCCATTGCAAGTGCCTGTTGTATACAAGCCTCAGTTGATGAACATCTTCAATATGATATGCAACTTTTTTTCCTTTTTTAATATCTGCAATAAAACTGAGAACAGAAGTAGAATTCTGGGGTTGTCTAGATGGGCTGCTTGGCCTTACAGGACCAGGACTGATTCCTCTGGACGAATAGTTGACAGCCTTCGCTCCAGAAGAATTGACCCCTCTTGCCATCAAGGGTGATCCAGAGCGTGATCCAGAAGTTGCCAAAGACATAGCTCTAGCTGCAGCATTTGCCAGTCTTGTTCGATCTGATGAACTAGAAAAGCCACGCTTCAGCATCCTTGGCGAACCATCATCGATTGAACTTCCACCAAGAACAGCCTTTCCATTTTCATCACGAGAAATTTTCATCAACAAATCACTGGTTGATTTTTGTAAGGATTTGCTTGTCCCAATCACAGACAACTTCCTCAGAGAAGGTGCACCCATTTCTGAACTGGTTATAGATGAAGAATTCCTTATCCTGTCAGCCATCTGGATACTTCTGTTCAGAGAAGTTGAAACCTCTTCACTTGTTCGACTGGACCATCTATGTTGGTCCACTACACGAGTACGGAAACTATCAACAGGTTTAAAATTCTCCAATTGACCAGAAGAGTGTTTTCCTTTCAGAGGGCTCTTCTTGCCTTCTGGGGTGGACTTCCGTAAAGCTGTGATACCAGCCTGTCTATGAGCACCATTTGATGGTAGCTTCGCAGTGCGATCAGAAGAGACATGAGAGACTGGCTTTTCTTTCTTAGTTATAGGAACACAATAGGAATCAGATTGAAAAGAAACGCTTAGACTCCGCATCGTTGAAGGCCATAAACACTCCGGTAATCCATTACCTACTACCATCTTCCTTGATCCAAGCAACACCTCTGCAGCTGTATCCTCAATTGGTGTTGATGGAGAAAGCGGCGACGATGGTCTTGAAGGACGCTTTCTTTCGATCGACATAGCCCTCTTTGGTGCTGATAAACTTGAGGTTGACGACAACCTACTGGGATTAGGTGAAGGGCAGCGCTTTGGAGCCATGGCTGCAGATGGTATAGGTGACCTACATCTAGAAATAATTTCTGGTTTCCCGGACCGAGGAGAATTTGCTCCATTCTTATTATCAGCTGGAACCAAGGGTCGTCTTCTTGTCCGAACACTTGATTGCTGCTTCTGTTGCGATGCTTGTGCTTGCTCTGGTTCACATACATCCATCCAAGCTGCGCATAGAAGGCCGCATTGATGACCCTTTTCATATATAATGAACAATCTCTAACATTCCTTTGACTGATGAATCACATCTACGTCTCTGGAAAAAGGAGATCCCCTTCCTTGTGCATCTTGAAAACTCTGTGAAACAAATTCGCGCCAAAAAGTAAGATACTTACAGAGAGGGAAAAGCAAAGTAAAAGAGTAAAGCATGATGCAAAAGGAAAAGATGCTCATTAGAACAACAGCACATCTTTAGAGACCCCCAGATCTTGAATTCAATAATTTCTAAAAGTATAAAAGCATCCATCCGCACCATCCAAGTGTGTCCACATTCAGGCAGATCCCACATCTGAAAAGACATGGGTAAATGCAGGAGAAGATTATACTAAAATTGCAATATCTGCTGCAACAAGCAGAAGAGGCGATGAATTTTTCCCTCTATCGAAAAATGAGAAAGAGTATTAAGATGAAAATGGCCGCAGGGCCAGGGATATAGCACAGTACAGAAAAGTACAGTACAACAATGATGAACTGTGAAGGGCGCAAGATAAGATTAAGAATGATCCCTCTCCTCTCTACGATTTACTACTACTATTTTCTTTATGCAATATTTATATATCCTCTGCTTTCCTTTTTTGATTCTGGTCCCCAAGCCTATGTGTCCCGTCCCTGTCACAAGAACGCCATGGCTTTCCTGGGCTGGATATGCATATGCATATGCATATGCGCATTACACACCAAAACACGTAAATTTGTTAATGTACAACTCACATTTAAAGCTCTGTGACCAAATTGCCCTTTTCTCCAACGCCCACCCAACACTTTTCATCTTCCAACCCAACTTGTTCTCTGCAAATTCATAGTAACGTAAATAGGGAATAGTTTACTTGGACATTGACCTTCCTGCACCTCTCTTTAACAAATTAATGAAGGAACCAAAAATCAATACACATCATTTCGTTTTTCACAATCGAAATTTGAAATTTAAACTACCGATGAATTATGTGTCTACATGAACAAGGACACGAAGACACGGCGAAATAATGGTCCTGCTGCTTTGTCAGGGTTCGTCCGGAGATTTGCCGACATCTGTATAATTCATGAACAATCTTCTCCATAGAATAAAACAAAAACAAAAACAGTAATTAATTGTTGGCATCCAAATCACTGAAATACTCTGCATATTTCAAAGTAACACGCAACAAATCTTCGATGACTCTAAGTTAACATTCGAGCTCAACGAGAAAGAAATTCAGATGAAAAACAATTGAGCCGATTCAAAGCTTCACCGGACAAAGCAGCAATCTCAATCGAACATAGGCTTTATTTAAATCCAATATAGCTTATAGAAAATAAATCGAGTATGCTTCCACACCTTCGACATGACGGAGAAGATGGATTTCGGCAACTTTCAGGATCGTCAACAATTTTACCCAACTCACCGACTGACTATTTAGCGGCCGTTTTCTCAAAACAATAATAGATATAAATAAGGGTAAAGTATAAATCTTTTATAATACAAATATTTGTGAAATAAAATTGAGAATGTTTTAAACTATCGGTGTGTTTGTTCGGGGTTTTGATTTTGAGTTGAGATTTGAATAGTAAAAATTTTGAATTTGAATAGTTGTATGATGTGATATAAATAAGTGTTGATGTGATATTTTGAATGTAAAATTAATTTTTAATATAATATAAAAAATGAAAAATAAATATTTGATTTAATATTTTTTTAAAAAAATAAGAATGAATAATAAAAATTTAATCCAATCTCCCAAACAAAAACACCCTTCAAAATTATCAAAATGAAGTGTGGTACTGTTAAAAAAATATTTTAATTTATTAAAATTTATTAATTATTTATTTTTTTATTTAGCATAATTCAAATATTTATTAAATTTGTACTCTCTTTGTCACAGGTGAATTGACATATTTTCATGTATGATATTTAAGATAATATATTATTAAATATATTTAAGATATTGTTTTGTTATTATTTGAATAATAATTGGTAGTTTTCAATCAAATTTAATATATATAATTAAAACAATAAAAATATATATTTAAATATTTTTAAAATTACTATTACAATTATAAATATATGTCACATGAATATAATTTTGTAAAAAATAAAATATAATAATATAAATAAATAAAAAAATACGTTTATTAATTTACAATTAACCTAAAGTAATTTTATATAAATAAAAATATTTATTTTCGAAGAGAAAATAAAAATGAAAGAGTTTTAAATGAGTTTTATGTATGATTTTATATGTTATTTAGTTAATCAAATTTATTTATATTTTTTTAATTATATTTTGATTTAGTAAATTTTATCAAAGTATAAATTATTATGAAATAAACAAAAATGAAAACAAAAAGAATACAATTAAGATGAGACGAAGAAAGTAGCTTATATTTTAAAAAATATAATTTAATTATAATATATAAATTATAATTCATCTTTAAATTAATTATACTTGACAATTTATTTTAAAATTACATAATTTATATTTAATAACTTTAAATTAGTTAAAAATCTGAATATTTTTATAATTTAGCATTTCAATTATAATTTTAAATTTTAATTTAATTATAACATATAAAATAAAATTATGAATAAAATTGTATTTTTAAATTTTAATTTAAGTATAATATACTATAAATTTATTATTATTATTATTATTATTATTATTATTATTATCTACTCTCAAAATAGATGACTATTTTTTTTAATCCGTGATGTCTATTTATAATAATAATTAACAATCTTAAATGTAATTAATAAATTTCATTAAGTTTTAATTATTAATTTTTATTATTTTTTAACAATAAAAAATACTAAAAATTAATTTCAAAAATAAAAATAAAACAAAAAGTTTTAAAACAGATAATAAATAGAAAAGCTTCCGAAATTTTCTTCAAATCCTAATATTTATCGATTCCCAAATCATTATGTTTGTTTGAGGGATTGGATTATATTTTCACTATTCATTCAATTTTTTCTCTCAAAAAATATCAAATCAAACATCTATTTTTTATTTTTTATATTATACTAAAAATCAATTTTACATTTAAAATGTCGCGTCAACATCTATTTATATCACATCATACAATTATTCAAATTCAAAATTTTTACTATTCAAATCCCTAACTTATAATCCAAACCCCAATCTCTTCATGGATGAACCCTATCTTCTCCCTCCCTTTATGCTCTTTCCTATTTCTCAACGTGAGGATGTTTTTATCCTATGGCCTTGTTAAATACTCCTTGTTGTTTCTTGCTACCATGTAAAATTTGTGCATTTGTTGATTTATGTCATTGTTAGAATAATCTAAATCTGAATTTGAACGAAGAGCTGTCACTCCTAAACGTTGTCAATTTGATGTCAAATTTTTGTAATTAGTGAATAACCAGACAATTTAAGGAGCAATTTAAATCCGAATTTGGAAAAAAAAATAAAAAATGATCAATTCCTGAACCTACTCAAATTGTTGTCAAATTTGTGTAATTCGTAAAATGACCAAGCAATTTGAATATAAATCTGAAAAAATTTGACCAATTTCTGAATCTGCTAAAATTGCTTAGTGATTATTTACAATCTTAATGAATAGCAATTTGAATCACAATCTTTGGAAAATTTTGACCAATTTTAGTTTAATTATTGATACACTATTGTTTAATTTTTTATTTTATGTCATCAAAATTATAATTCTAATGGTTATATTTGAGGTTTATATATATAATAAAAAAAGTAACGATATCACATGTCTAATCATATAACATGTGTGCATAGTAAAAATTATTTTACAAAAAAAATAACCACAATACAATTGTTAATCATCTAATATGTGTTCATTACTAGTCTAATCTTAACTATTTTTTATTAAATCACAAAAATAAGCATATAATAAATTATTCGCTCTACTATCATAATTTATAAAGGTGAAATAATTGTATCTTGCACTTGTATGACTAATGCAATTGACAGCAGCTGCACATACTATTTTTTCCTAGATCCATGAAGTATGTCAAACACTCTATGACTAGTTCAATATCAACATTAAGGTTGTTTGGCAATATACCTTGTCTAATGAGTGTATCATTTTTTATATATGCAATTTTATAATTATTATGTTCTTTACCTTTCATGATCTCTATCATACAATTTTGTATGCTAAGAAGAACTTTATTCAGTATAACTTTTCATATGAGTTTTCAATTGTACTCACAAGTTCATCAATCATGTAACATGTTGTTTCGGTTGAATGTTTTGAACTGTTCTAAATCATTTAAGATCCTTCAAATTAAGGTCCGGAGAATTTGGGGGTTATTGAACTAGATTTATGTCAAAACTATCATTAGAATATGCTACTCTTAAATTTGGATTTTCATTAATTTTGGATTATCCTATTGTATGAAAAAATTTCTACTCTTGTTGGCAAACCACTTTTGGTTACATAGAACTAGTGTGAATAAAAACAAATGCAATGTAATCGCATTTATTCTAACATTATAAAAGTTTAACATTCAATTAATTACATACATGATTGATCAAACATGCGTTAATTACTTATTTGGTAATAGATTGAATAGGCTTCGTCGTGAGGTTCCCATCTTACAGTTCTTACTTGATCTCTAAGCAACTTCTTTTTAAGTAAATGAAAAGTTTTCAATTTTCAATCAAAGATCATTGAACAATTTTCCACAAATATTGACCTACACATAATATACATACACATAAACTTGGTTATAAAATTCTTATTTTGACATGTTCTATGTGGCTTGGCCTCCTCTCAGGTTAAGTAAATCCAATGTGATTTTTACTCGTAAAAAATCACTTCTCTCCAACATATGCTATATTTTTCATGCATTTAAATTGAATTGTATTTGCAATAGAATTATACAGAAGTTGTTATAGTGAAAACTACAGTTTTAATCTACCTTGCAACACTGCTTTTAGAATACTATATTGAGGTTGTCAGCCTACATATTGTACATTATTTATAAAGAGAAACACTTTTGATCAATTGCATTATTTGGAAACTTCTTTTGAATCTTACATTTTGTTATCTCAAAATTATTTTTAGATAAAATTAATTTATGAATTTCTATTTTGGCCGAGGGGTTAACCCACTAAGTTTTGTTTGATGAGTTGACCACCCAAGACCAAGCTAAGAAAGACAAGTGCCCAAAGAGCAAGCTTGATCGAAATCACATGCAAGCACGTATTGACTAGTCTATAAGAAATTAATCAAAATTAAGTAAGATATTCACCGGATAGTTTGAGCAGAATTTGAAAAATGATTGTTATGGGAGAATGTCTACTATGGTAAAAGGGACATAAAAATACTCACGTTATTAAAAAGGAAAAAAAAAAAAAGAAGAAAAAAAAACCAAAAACATATTTTTTAAAAAACACATCAATTTCAATCGAATTTCAAAATTTCAGATTTTTTTTTTTCAATTTATTTCTATCACTTTTCATTGCAACTTCCTTGTAGAACATTATCGATATTCCTGCTCGTGATTGTTTACAATTTTTTCTTCTTCAATTTTTGTTATTGCTTCTCTCATTATTTTTCCTTGTTGTATTTTCCATTTTCATCAAATTCTAATTTTATTGCATTTTGTCCATGTTTTTTGAACAACAGACGCTACTTTCTTATTTCAATTATGTTTCTATCATCTCAAATTTTCAGCAATTCAATTCAATTAGATTTAATTTGCTTATGAGTAATTCGATACGGTTTCATATACTTGTTAAGAAAGCCCGAGAATCCACTCATTTTTCAACTCGCTCGACTTTATAAGTCGCCGAATAAATAAAATTCGAGAGACAATAATATTTAAAATTTAATTTTTAATCTTATTATTATTAATTTTTAAATAAATACTAATATTTTATATTTATTTTTCATAAAAGCTTTAATTATTTAAACTTTAATTGATTTTGACTCAGACTATAATTTATTTTTACCCGGACGTCAACATGTATAATTGACAAGTAAATGGTGGAATCAATATAATTAATTTATTTTTAATAGGATCAACTCTTAAAAAATATTCAACGTTTTGACTTTGTCGTATAATTTTATTTTATTTTTTTAATAAAATATCAAATTAAATACTTCCTCCGTCATGCAAATGTGTGCTTATTTGACCGGGCACGAGTTTTAATAAAAGTAAGTAATAATTGTTAATTTTTTCTTTTATAGTAAAAAATAGTACAAAAGTGAAATAATTTTTTATTGAAAAGGAAATGAAAATATTTTTCGATGACAACCCAAAAAGAAAAATGAACATAGATTTGAATGACGGAGGAAGTATTAGTTTAGGGCTCTTTTGAATTGATTTTTTTTTAAAAAAAATAATAAATAGAAAGTAAAAGTAGAAGTCAAAAGCAAAAATAATTCGATTTAAATTTTATAAAAAAACAGTTTAGATATAATAATGTTGAAATTGTTTTTAAACAGATAAAATTAACTTTGG